TCACGTTTAGGCTGCCAAATCTGCTTGAAGAAATGGATGGAAAATATGACTGTTCGAGTACCAGAAGCTGTTGCTGATGCTAGACAATCAGTAGATATGAGTAAAAACTCCTAAAAGAAAATATTTTAGGAGTTTTAAAGAAGCCTAATTATTTTTATAACTTATTTTTAAATGTGTAATTAAATATGGGAACTTACATAATTGTGAGTTATTTTATATGACTATCAATATTAGATTATTGCTATTTTAATTTTCTTTATAGAACCTCCTATATTTTTACGCTTAAAATGCAATAATTCTTCTTATAACTGATCATTGGGTTATAAACATTAGCGAGTGTATTAGAGATTTCATATAACATTATTCTGCCAAAACCTTTAATGATGTTTGAAAACTGGATCACTTCTACAGGACTTCTAAAAACCCCTGGTCATTGCTGGGTTTCAGACCTGGATATGTAAGAGAACAAAACTTGTAAGACTGCATGGGGTCTTTTTTAAAGTGTTGTCATTAAAGATGGTGTGGTCAGAGCTAATTCACATTCTTAGTAAATACGATACTTCCTCAGCAAATAGTGGATTTTCAGGGTAGACATTTTCCAAATTTTGTCTTGCAAAAATACTGTTAAAACCATGAAATCTAGGGGCTGATACAGAATGTTGGCACCTGCAGCTTAATTGCTGCAGTGCATCTCTGTTGCCCAAATCAGAAGTGAGTAAACCTCAGCTATATTCACATCTGACAGCAGCACAAATACGGGGATACACATGGCTCGGAAGAGTGAACCCTTGGAGCTGTCTGATGGGAGAGCACATCCACCAGATGTAAATGTGATTTCTTGCCGCTCCCTGGAGATGGCTGAGTAGGGGTTGAAGAGGGCAATGTTTGCCAACGTAAGATTTGTTCTGAAATCTTTATCCCTTGCTCTTTCAGTTTTGAGGTTGTTCAGGGGACAGTCAGATGTTAGCTAGGGCGTTCACCTTGAAGAGAATCCTGGCTTCTAGGCCTTGCTCCCAGGATCACTTCAGTAGTGGTCGATGTGTGATGAGCAGGCATATTTATTTCATAAAGATGGGCTAGGTTCCCTAGAAGGGTAGGGAGACCCCACCATGGCGGGATAGCATGTGGACTGATGATGAAGAACTTCCAGTTGGATCTTGTTTTAGTCTTTTTAAAGTAGACCAAAATAAAATAATGTCTCTAAGACTCTTTATTATTCTCTCAATTTTTTGTTGCCTAAATGTGTGAATGAAATGGTTGTCACTAATGTAATAGTTATTAACCTTATAAGGTTATTTTAATATTTTGGGGTGTATTTATATACAAAAACATGTTTATTTACATTTGAATGATCTAATACATTCATTAATGCCTTATTTGAACTAGTGACAGTGACATCTAGACAGCTTTTCTTGCAGCATTATATTTATGGGAGAGGGGACAAAACCCAGTATTTTTCCAGTGCTGAATGATTATTTTGAGCTCTATTAAGAAACAAAACAACCCCCCCCCCACAAACCCTCCCTCTTTGTTTTAAAAAGAAATATTTTCTAGAATTCTATTAAAAATAGATCTAGTTCAGATTCTTTGATTTCTTCCCTGAGTAGGTATTGCTTTGTTTCCTGGTATTCCCTTTGGACTTTCCCCTAAAACAAAGATGAGCTTAATGTGATCTGCTCAGAATTTAATCGTATAGGGTGTTCAGAATGCACTTCCTATCTCATTGAATTCAAAATATGACCTCAGAGGTGAAACTTCTGGCTTTTTGAAGGACGGAGAGAGAGGATGGAGAAGGGTGGAAATAAGTTGAAGAAAGTCTGAAGCTACTGCTCTCTTCCTCGTCCACTGCTGTGACTCTAACCATAATTTAGAGGTTACCCTCCCGCAGTCAGGCGCTAAGTATATCAGTTCTCACTTGGTATTGCCTTTGTCCCGAGTTCATTTCTATACAATAATTATTCTTAAATCTTGAACTTATGTTTTGTACATGAGACACAGCTCTTTAGCTTCCGAGAGAGGGAACTCAGGTCATAACCAGATGTACTGTGCATTCTTACATAGGAAAGAAATCTGAGGTTTCAGTATGGCTGTGGGGTTCGGATTTCTTGTTTTTTGTTTTGGGTTTTGTTTGTTTGTTGTTTTGTTGTTTTTTGGTTTTTTTACTTACAACACTGGGCACTTCTCCCTGTGGGAATCTTGAAGTGCTTAATACTGTGTTAAACAAATGTGAAATAGCTTTTTTGTGACAGTTTTTTCTTTCTAAGCCAAGGTTGTTTCATTGTGCATTTCCCGTGACAGCTTCTCACTACAACGACTTTGACTCTCCTATAGTGTGCCTGTGGAAGGAGTTACTTAGCACAGCAAGGCAAAAATGGACATTTCAAAGTTCATTTTGAATTCTAGAGGTATCCCATCCTGCATGCAAGTGGAAATCTCAGAAGGCAAAGGAACTGACACCTAATCCCCAAAATGCACAGCTCAGAGATACTTGTTTCCTTACTGTCAAAATGATTTGCAAATAAATCTTATTTTATACCACTTTCTGACACACATTGTTTGTATTGATTTTTTCTTCCCTTTTTCTCCAAGTCTCTAAGAATGTCTTTCTGGCTTTAAAATGGAACTTAACAGTTAATGATGTGCATTCAAGTGTAAGTATGAATTACTGTGCAATGACACAATTAAAACATCAAAACTAGTTAAATAAATATTTGATTACTTCCTTGATCAAAGAAAGATTAGAGGTAACTAATTTTCTTAGAGGCATTTATTTTCTGTCAAAACATGGAGTCAGTGGTCTGTTCTGCCTCTCTTCCCTGAAAAACAGGGAGAAAATCAGCATTGGCAAAATCAATGCACTTGTGTGTGTTCAGTGTGATGACTGACTCCAGTGTCACTGCATCTCATTCTGCCGGGAGAAGTTTCCATCGTTTGGACTACAGGCTGTCACTGGGGAGAGGAGGAGGCGTGTTCCCCAGGCCGTTTGTTACTTTTCAGTCAGAAAATCTTCTAAATCTGAACTTCACAGCTTCTGGTTGCAGGGCTCCAGAAGATTTAAGGCAGATGTGTCCAAGCTTGGTTCACGTCCCAGTTGGAGGCAAGTGGAGAAGACCACGTCCAAAAAAGCTGCAGTGAAGGTGGCAGTGCTTCCCCTGCTCACAGGTCTGGGCAAGGAGAAGGTTTCCTACAACTTGACTTTGTTTTGCCCTTGCAGAGGACAATGTGGTATTGTCAGGGACAGGGTAGACTGAAAAATCCTAATTCCTTGAGAGGAAAATGAGAAGTAAATCTTGGAGGAGGAGGAGAGACGCTCAAGCTGAGTCACTGAGGTATCAGAAAGGTGCTGCAGCTGCTGTTCGTGAAGCAATAATTTTTCAAATGGTCTGAAAGGATGTGAAAGGGGAACGGGGGTTTCCTGCATCGTGGGGGGGCTGTTGCCTCTGTGTGTGGCTGTGCAGATCCAGCTGCTGCTACAGGCTGTGGTGCCTTGGTGCTCTTCCTCTCCCCAGGGTGTTGCCAGGAGAAGAACAAGAAACGTGGCCCATATGTAAGACAACAGGCTTTCAAAGCAAGCCCGAGCTGTGCTCTCTAATCTGGCCACCTCTTCCTTTTTTCATCAAGTTAAATGGGGGTTTATTACGTGAACCAGTTCAAATTCAAACAGGTCTTGTTCAAAGTAATTTCTGGCCAGCAGTAATTTAGCATTTGCAACTGGGGGAAGCTCTTCATGTAAAGCCATGGCCCTGTCATGCACACAGAGTTACCTCTGAGGTCCTGGTCCACGCTTTGGGAATCTCCCTTGTCCTCAGCCCAGCAGCAGATACATTATTTTGAGCATCATCTAGCTGCTCACACGCTTCTCTGAGCAGTGTTCTCAGTCTGGCCAGCGTAATCTGCCTTGTTCCAAACCCCTTTCATGTCACAGCGCCTTCTTCCCTGAGCAGGCAGTAGGGTGCATCTCTTGCATCTGCTAGAGATGGCAAAGGAGAAAAAGGGTTTGGCACAGACTTGGTACAACCTTCTTTATATCCACTTAGCCACAGCAGAGCTTTCACCTTCCCATTTCTGCTTCCTTTAGAGCATGTGTGTGCTAGGAAACAGGATATGGTCTGAAATTCTTCAGCTGGTGCTGACCTCGGGTGGTAAATCCCTGCAGCACAGCACTGGTAGGGATTAAAACTTGGGAATGGGAACTGCGCGGCACGTTGAAGCAGCCATGCATGTGAGCCCAGCTCAGCTACTGCTCTCGGATGGAGCTGGTTACTGTGGAGCTGCTGTGGGTATCTGTAGCTGTGAAAGAAACGTAGGTTTGGTGTTAGAGTGGAAAAGGGCTCTTGCTGGATCAGGCCAGGCTGCCACGGCCTGTGGCAAGGCTGAGTGTGTAGTCCCATAGACAGACAGATGTGCAGACACACAGACACATGTGCGTTGGCCATGCCAATCAATGCAGACGCAGCCAGGGTGCCAGCCATCTGCTCTCTTAGCCCCTGCAGCCTGATGGGGAGTCTCTCCACTGACCACGGGGTTGGTGGCTCCCTGTGACAGCCCTGGGAGAGCTGGGGCCCAGCTGGCTCTGGTGGTGAGGTTCCAGGAGTTCCCCTGCCTGTCACGGTACCTCTGCTCCTGGGATGAGCCATCAGTCACGTCACCCAACATTATTCAATGACAGGGTGGGATGTTTGTGCTCCGGGTTTCTCCAGCGCTGCAGCAGGCAACAGGGGACGTGTTACACATGGGAAGTGATGATGACATGGGATAGTGATGCTGAGTAAGTAACCGCTTCCAGATACTGTGGAAAAGCCTGTGGGCACCTGTGGCAGCTGTATCCAGGTCACAGCTATGCCTGGGTGGGTTTTCTTCCCACTGGCAGCAAACTACTGCTGGCAGCTGGTGGCTTGAAATCTCTGGGTTTGGAGAAGTTTGTCCCATCTCACTGAAAATAAATGCCAGGCCTTAGATGGCATTTCTCCTTCAGACTGTGTTTTATCAAAAATGTCTCTCCTTAAGAATCTAGCTTTGGAGCAAATATCTGTACAAGTTGGATGTTCTTACTCCATCCAAATGCACCTGAGCAGGTTTCAGAGGTGGGTTAGCGGCTCCTTCTCATTCTACCC